TAGTGAGGCTGGGGGTCGGGACACACTCTCTCTGGGGGAGGGGGGGAGTGGTGAGACTGGGGGTCGGGACACTCTTTCTCTGGGGGGTGGAAATGCTGAACTGGTACAGGTTTAACGCCCCTTTCAACACTGTTAGGTTATTTAAGAGGCAGGACCTCCGAGTTTAACATCCAACTCCAAAAGGACCGTTCGGAATTTTTAGCGAACTTTTGTTTTTTGGCTTAGCACCTTTCATGTCCTTTAAAGAATGCATTTCTGTGTAGATTTTACTGAAAAACGTTGACTAAAAGCGTTAAAGATGTACATTTTCAGTTTCCACGGACTCTCAAGCCAAGGAAATAACTCAACTTTGGCGGCCATTTTCTCGCTAATTTTACCTCTGAAACCTGGTGACTCCACCTCCTTGAATCGCCAATGTCTTGACTTGTTTCCAAGATAAATGGATATTTTTTTCATCAAAAGCACGGCAAATGGACAGGCTTTTAGATGATACATATAACTCCGTATGCCCCAAAATTGAGGAGCGCCAATATTCCATTGCGTAGTGACACATATCAGCATTCAAATGCTCCGAACAAAAAAGTCATGTTTATTTTTCTTGTTTTCTTGTTTCCATAAATTTTTTTGGACCTATTTTCTTGCGTCTAGAAATGCAGAGCTGCCAACCATTCCGATTTTTTCAATATCAGGATGATTTTTCTGCCTCTCTACAAAATTCCGATCATAAGGCGATTTATTACGATTTTTACCGTCAGCAGATTTTTGGCTATAAAAAGATGTATTTTTGGCTCTTTTTTAAATTTTACAAGTCTTAGTGCGGACCTGTAAATCGTCTACCAATAGTTGGAAAACCGCCAATTTCTAAATCAACCCCCGCCCCCCTAAAAAAAAAGGGAACAGCTGGCAAGAAATCCTTGATAAAAACAAATTACTGTCACCAGAGCCTGAAAAATGCAACCCTAAATCCATTACATCAGTCATCTATTCGACCTTTTTGTGATTTAAAAGGTGAGTTTAAAGCAAAACTTTGGCCTTCACATTTGTTTAATTTTCAATAAGCCATATGTTTCCGTCATTAAGACATATTTTTGTTCGTTGTAATATAGTAATTTGAAAATGAGATTTCTATTACTAATTTTTATGGGAAATTACAAATTTTCTTCATGGTCATTACTAAAAACCATGGAGATGTGATGGCAGCCCTGGAAATGTGTGACGCTGTGAACAGAAGAGTCAGTTTATTTTTCCTGCTGTCTTGTTTCTAGAAATCTCGGACGCTCTCAACGAGAAGCTTGTTCCTGTGGCTATGACCTACAACCAGCAGACAGACAGCGCAGCGGCTCTCGGACAGTTACCTGGCAACGACGCACCCCTGGTACACGATGGTGGGTACATGTGATGATGATAGCGATCATGTACGACATTCTGCCGTAAGCCGATGAAACGCTTTTTTTTATTCACAGCAGTTTGGAGAAAAAGAGGTTTTTCTGTCAGCGCAACCGTTGTAAAATAGTGTACTTCCGAAATTAGAATTCGAATTTATCCCCAAACTGGTCGCAGTTTCTCTTAAATTTTTCTCACGCTAGTAGGGTAACTTTTCAGGCTTTCGATTTGGCAAATAAAAAATTTGGTGGCCGAACTGAAAAAAAGGGGCAGTTTGTCAGCTTACGGCAGTATTTCTATAGCGCTCAACCACGATTCAAGAACACAGGCTCAGAGCACTGTACAAACTCAACAGCTACTCACAAAGCAGTATAGTCAGGCACAGATAACACAAACAGCAAAACGTCCAATTCGTGTTTTCCCGAGTGATATTATATCTCTTTAATAATTTTTTTGGTTACAATGGTGTACCCAAATTGAAGAGTGGTTTTCCAAAACTTGGTAGGTCAATTTTGACAAGCGTCTGATTTCACCACGATGCCACACACATTTATGATATAAACAGCACCAATGTAGGCCTACGAACTGTTATGTTCACATGAGTATGTGATTTTATGTATGTGTGTTGCCTCGCGGTGAAACCAGGCCATTGTCAAATTTGACGAACCCAGTTTTGGAAAACCACACTTCAATTACGGATGTGTTGAGCACATTTGTCGATCCTGGCCCGCCGTGTTTGAATTTTCCGTGCCTGACTTTACGTCGAGTTCTGAGAGACCCGTGCGTCTCTTACACTGCTAGTTGGTCGCTTTTAATTAAGGACAAGCGGGCTAACCCAGATTTCGGGGGGTTTCCAGAAATCTTTCCCTACACCAAAAGTGGGCATTGCTATACCTCTAGGAGAAGTTTGGTTTCATTGGTGGGTGTATTTGTTTTGTTATAGAGAAAACTCTCCTTGTCATTTAAAGAAACCGAACGAGGGGCAAAAACTTTACCTTCAATTTTCTCAAAACATCGTATTTCAGGATAGCCCCCTTGTGGTTAAAAGTGACCTTTGATGTGTTTATGTCTTGGTGGTTTGTGTGGAATGACCATGTGTGACCCGGGTAAAACATGGGCAAGTGGTTCCTAGTTGCGGACCGGATGAAGCGATTCCGAATATATTGCGAAACAAATTAGGAGTAAATATTGGATGAAACGGACAGGAACCTCCCCCCCCCCCACCCCCCGGCTCTCAAAACTGAGACAAAAACCTGACACTGTAGTATGTAAGCTACTCGAGCTCATTTCGTGATGTCATGTTTTTTCATATTAGATCTGTGGCTTACAGCTGGACTAGAAACTAATTTACTTTCATTTTCCTGATGATCAGTTTTGTTTAATATTAACAACCCACCACGGGTCACATTCATTGTTAATTGGCGGGTCGACTCGCGGGCTGGACTGAAGCTGCTCGAGGGCGGATTCTGATCCGTGGGCTGTAACTTGTCTTTGGTTTGCCTGGGTCATTGGAGGGTGATTTTACGTTTTTGTGTGGAATGACTTTGTGGGTAACCCTTTCTAGATAGTTAGCTTTGGAAGATGTTACGTTTTGTGTGGAATGACTTTGTGAGTGACCCCCTATAGTTAGGTTAGCTTTGAATGATGTTACATTTTGTGTGGAATGACTTTGTGAGTGACCCCCTATAGTTAGGTTAGCTTTGGAAGATGTTACATTTTGTGTGGAATGACTTTGTGGCTTACCCTGAAGGTAGGTTAGCTTTGTAGCTTTGGAGGATGTTACATTTTGTGTGGAATGACTTTGTAGGTGAGCTTTGAGATAGTTAGCTTCAGAAGATGTTACATTTTGTGTGGAATGACTTTGTAGGTGAGCTTCGAGATAGTTAACTTTAGAAGATGTTACGTTTTGTGTGTAGAATGACTTTGTAGGTGACCTAGATAGTTAGCTTTAGAAGATGTTACATTTTGTGTGGAATGACTTTGTAGGTGACCTAGATAGTTAGCTTTAGAAGATGTTACATTTTGTGTGGAATGACTTTGTAGGTGACCTAGATAGTTAGCTTTAGAAGATGTTACGTTTTTGTGTGCGGAATGACCACGTAAGTGACCGCTAATGTCAATCACGAATTGTGTGGACGGGGGCGTAAAACCACCTACGTATGAAAAAGAAAATCAACGGAGTGACAGAAATGATGTGATGTTTGATGTTGTAGTGTGTTTTTTTAAGTTGTGGAATGACTTAGTGTTCGTTGTATGTATTGCCCGAGGTTGTCTGATGTTTTGTTCAGGTGGATTTTAAAAAAAAAATAGGTTTGAATTTTTCATTGACTTGACTAATTGTTGGTACGCACCTTGTTTGTTTTATTTTGTCCTGATGTGTTGTGTTGTTTGACGTCATGGAGGTGGGTGGTTGGCGGGTGCTCTGGTGTGGTTTGCTTCTTCTTTCCTATCAAACATCTATTTTCTTTATCTCCCCTCCTTCTTTTTTTATGTTTGTTACTCTCTTGTAACAACTCTAATCTGGTGCTCATATGACCTTATGCAGTTGTGAGCGTCGTAAAACCTCTACTAAAGCTGTTATGTACTATTCCTTCAAGTAGCATGAGCATGTCACTCACAGGGCACGGCTGGCGACCTCGCAACGTCGGTGCTTTCTTGTCCTGTCTTCATGTGTAATAACAGTGGACACAGTTCATAACAAAGAGTGAGCTTAATGTGGAAGTCACATATATTTTCAATGTAAAAAAAATGGAGATATGACAAGAAATCGCTGAGGTCATGAGCTGTATTCACAGACTAACTCACGCATAGCCAACAAATTTTCAGGTCCAAACCGATTTTTATTTTCTTATTCATGAGGCATTTTAGTGTTTCATGAGTGGTTGGCGGGTGCTCTGGTGTGGTTTGCTCCTTCTTTTCTATCAAACATCTATCATCCTTACCTCTCCTCCTTCTTTTTTATGTTTTGTTACTCTCTTGTAACACCTCTAATCTTCGGCACTTATATGACCTTAATGTGTTGCAAATGCCGTAAAACTCTTACTAAAACTAAAAGTTTCAAGTCCGATCCGATTTTTTTCTCTTATTCATGACATATTGTCTTTTCCTTATTCATGACATATTGTCTTTTTCTTAGTCATGACATATTGTCTTTTCCTTATTCATGACGGTTTTTTTTCTTCTTCATGACGTATTTTCTTGGTATTTAACAATCGTACAGCGCGAAGGTTGTACAGAACCAACAGGGTTTCCGTGTCCTGCCAATGTCGCCACGTGTGTGTGTCGTTAGGCTGTTCATATCTCACCACTTGAAAATGGACAAGTGGTTGGTTGGCGGGTGCTCTGGTGTGGTTTGCTCCTTCTTTCCTATCAAACATCTATCGTCTTTATCTCCCCTCCTTCTTTTTTGTGTTTGTTACTCTCTCGTAACACCTCTAATCTTCGGCACTTATATGACCTTATTGTGTTGCAAGTGCCGTAAACCACTCACTGAAACTAAACACCTGTTGCCTTATTGTGTTGTAAGTGCTGTAAAACGCTTACTTACACTAAAGAGTAGATAAATGATAAGGAATAAAAATGAGTAGTCTGTAAGAATTATGCTGAAAACTAGCCCTGTCCTTCCTTTAGCCCCAATTGTCGGCGGTGTGAGGGACGCGTTGATTCCAAACGTTGCCCTGAAAGACGCTGCAGCTGCGGAGAGCCCTCTCTCGTTCGGGAAGTCTGCGTTAAATGACACAGCGCTCAAGGTCGCAGTGAAGCCACAGAACTCCATCATTCTGGGAAAACTGAAAAACTCGGGAGTGATCCATGCGTGAGCGTGCGTTGTCATCATTCTGCCAGCTCACCACTGTTTTTTGTTGGGTTTTTTTATGGAGCCTGTTCGCTTTGTTCTCCCCACCTCTCACCTACGTTATCTTGTCGTTTCTAGAAGCTTCTTTTCTTTGTTTCTTAATGGTCTGTAGAGGAATAAAAGTACCGAATTGTGCTGCTGGCAAGCTCTTAGGAAGATTTTAAAAAGAAAAAGGAGTACAAATGTGGTCCAGATACTCATTTTGTTCCAGTTTGAAGTGGCATAGAAAATGTCAATATCATATTCCCTTGAAAATGGCAAGGCTATGTAGCAGAACTTCCTAAGAGAGATCAAAATCCATGGGGGAAAAACCCTGATATATTTATTACTTATTTCGTAACTTTATGAACCCTCCCAGCATTCTTATAAACCTCTCCCATGCTCTTATAAACTCTACGCTTGGAGTATGAGAAGCCATTAGAATTTGAAAAATTAAATGTGTCTTTATAATTTATATTTGTTAATAATTCTTCCAAAATTAAAGTTTCATATATGAATACTCACCAGCAAAGATACTGAAACCACAATGTACCGAGTCCGCAAAATAAAAAATATGAGCGGCGATATGTGTAGTGAATAATGTACCTATTTCCAAGCTACTTGAGAACTTTATAAGGCTGGGGTTTAATATGACATGTGACCCACTGTAGAGCAAACTCTGTACTCCCTTCCTTTTTTTAACTTTGGGCCAAATATTTGATCAATAATTGACCCAATAGAGAGAGACAAAAATGGTGATTGTGGCAGTCTATTATTTTATCTTTTCTTTTTCACTTTTTTCTTTTACACACTAAAATTCTCCCTCAAAATATTTAAAGGATTTTTTTTTTCTACCACATTAGCTCCTGCTCGGCTCATTTTCTGTTTGCTGCGACTCTGTGCTCCTCTTTGCTGCCGCGGAGATGGTTTCTCTTCTTTTGACTGTTTTGGTGTTAGGTCGGCTTTTTTTTTTTATTAGACACATTTGGTGAGTCACCGAGCGGTTCCAACATTCATCCCATGTATGCATGACTTACGTCGCTTTGACTGAGCTCAATTAGCATAATGTTCTGTGTCCTTTGCTTCTCATGTTCAAAGTTGTTAATATAATGGAAGTTAACATTAACCTTTTTGGTCCTTTGTTTCTCATTTCAAAGTTGTTGAACCGACCTGTATAACAACTTACTCCATTACTACAGTAGCCTCTGATTGACGTACTGTCTCTAATCAACAAATTCCCCATTATCAAAATATCTCATCCCTTGGGGTTATTGGGTTTTTTTTGCGTGAAATACAGCTGAAATTGTGTAAGATGGCCAGCCATTTTCAAGGAGAAAAGTGGTAGCCTTAGGCATGTGGCCATCTTACAAGTATCTTTGTACATGTAATGTAAAGATAATGCAAGGGGGGGCAGACCTTTTGAACATGTGGTTCTTTAACCCTATCCGTACGCCCTGGGATCATTTTGAACCCCCAGGGTTGATTCTTCACATTTTAGTATACTTCTAGTAGGAAGATCTCTTTGAAACTTTCAGTATTTCTAAAAAAGTCATTTTGACAGACTGCTATGCAAAGCGTACGGATTAGATTAACGAGTAAATTTCCTATTTCAAAAGTGGTGGCACAGAGTTCCCCACGTCGTATGAATACGATAGTAAAACTCAACGTACGGATAGGGTTAATTCGAATTGCTGTACATTTGAGCAGGTGTGACTGTGTCAGGAGTTTCTGTGGTAACTCTGGACAGCTATACGTTTTGTGTGGCTTTGACTGCAATGTGCACGATTCTCATATTGACAAAAGGGGTATAGTGTGGGTGACTTGTGGGTGCTCTGGTGTGGTTTGCTCCTTCTTTCCTGTCACACATCTGTCGTCCTTATCTCTCCTCAGTGGGTGGTTGGCGGGTGCTCTGGTGTGGTTTGCTCCTTCTTTCCTGTCACACATCTGTCGTCCTTATCTCTCCTCAGTGGGTGGTTGGCGGGTGCTCCGGTGTGGTTTGCTCCTTCTTTCCTGTCACACATCTGTCGTCCTTATCTCTCCTCAGTGGGTGGTTGGCGGGTGCTCTGGTGTGGTTTGCTCCTTCTTTCCTGTCACACATCTGTCGTCCTTATCTCTCCTCTTTTTTTTTTTCATGTTTTACTCCCCAGTAACACCTCTAATTTTTGGCAATTATAGGACTTATTTGTGTTGCAAGTGCCTTAAACTTCTCACTAAAAATGAAACTAAAACTAATCTAAGAGAATTACTCCTCTCTGTTTCCCCCCCCCCCCCCCCCCCCCCCAAACCCCTTTTTTTTAAATAGCCGTAACACAAAGAGAGAGAGGAAGAGATTCTAAATTGTTACTTTCTTCCTCCTCTCTTCACTTTCTTTCCACTGTCCACATTTACATTTTATTTCTTCTTTGTGGGTTGGGGTTGTTTGGGGTTTTTTCTCATCACGTCCTGTTACAGATTAAGGGGATCCACTGGTCAGATCAGTAAAAATTTTGAAAAAATATCAGTTTTCGGATTTTGGAGTATCTTAATAGATATCAATATCAAGGATCCATCTTTAGAAGCCTAATTCCTTTATCAAACTTAGATATAGCTGGAAAATGCATTTAAGAGAGGCAGCAATGTAGGAAAATCTTCACCAAAAATTATCTCTCTTTGCAGTTTTCTCACAATTGTTTATCTGACCAGGTAGCAACACTATTTTGAGTAGATCTCAGAAAGTTACTGTCAGAATTGTTTCACATTTGGACACAATCTTTTATACACATTTCTCTATAACTTTACAGGAGCATTTTTGCTGTTTATGGTACACATTTGGAGTTTTAGGCCTGTTTTATTTTACAAAATCTTAAAACATTGGAGACCTGAATGTAGCGCATAGTAAGGACTGTAAGGCTCACAAGTCAGTACAGAAATTTCAAATTTGTTTTGTAAGGTTGTTCTACCTACCAACAGTAATGGCCATGCCAAATATTAGGCTTCTATCTTGATGAGTGTTGATGATTGACAAAATATAAAATTGTTTTTAAAAATGCTGAATCAATCCTTTATTTTTGATGGCTCGAGATTATTATGGCTAAAATCTTGAATTTTTTGCTTGGTAACCTTTTTTTGTACTATGTCACCCCCTTTGATGCAGAAAAGCAAGCATTAGACCAAAAACTACAGCATTTGGGTGTTGACCATAGCTACACCCCCTTAAATAAAAAGAAATTACTCTTTTGTGAGCGAGTGCTTTGGTTACTTGCTGTAGAGCATCGCTGATCGCTGTGCATATTTATATGTGTATATATGTGATATATATATAATGATAGACATTGTCATCTTATCCACTGAATGTTTGAGCGTGCCATTGTTTTGTTGGTGGCTGCTTGCTCCATGTTCTTCCTTTTGTTCAGAATCTCATAGTTTGCTGCACTGACTTTTTGCATCTTCAGGGAATGGCTTATTTGGAAGAATTCTTTTTTCACTTTTTAGTCCTACTTCATATTTTATTTATTTCTTAAAATATGTTCTTAAAAACAACACTGCTTCTTCCTGATCCTTGTTTTTAAGGTAGATGGTTGGCGGGTGCTCTGGTGTGGTTAAGGTTTGCTCCTTCCTTCCCATCCAACACCTATCGTCATTATCTCTCCTACTTCTTTTCTATGTATGTTGCTCTCTAGTAACAAAACCTCTAATCTTATTACTTATATGACCTAATTGTGTGGTAATGTAAGTGCAGTAAACCTCTTCTGATTCCCCGTTTGGACTTCTCTGTTGACATCCACCCCTAGGCGCTCATATGACCCTATGCAGTTGCGAGCGACATAAAACCATACTATAACAAAACAATGTAAGACTGTTACTAAAGCTAAATTTGTTTTCAGAGAAGTCTATGACTCAATATCAAAATTCGAGTGGGTTTGGGGAAGACTCTGACATGGTCCTCTCCTTCCTTATTTTATTAGTCTGACTGTAGTATGCTTTACAAGGAAACTGGCATCTGTGGTGTAGGGGTTAGGCACTTCGATGTTTCACGTAGTAGACCCGAGTTTGATTTCTGAGTGGGGGAGACTTTTTTATTCAGTATTTCGGTCTTTGTGCTGGGATGCTGTATCTCTATCAGCCAGGGGTGGATTTAAATTGTGTGGATGTGTGAATAAAGACACTTACATTAAAAGAGGAAAAAAAATTCAAAGCTTCCCAGGAAGTTGAGATTGTTTGAGAATGCTTCAGTCAGGTCTGCTGGGGTAGTAATGTAGATTGTAAAGTTGTTTGAGAATGCTTTCAGTCAGGTCTGCTGGGGTAGTAATGTAGATTATAAAGTGCATAGATTGTGCTTTGGAGCAGGAGTTCGGGCTATACAAATGCTGTTTATAATTATTGTTATTGCCACATCATAGCTGGTTCATTGAGATCACCCAAAATCTTCTGCTGGTAGAATGGTTGACTGGGGTTTTGGTTTGGTTTTTAAAAAATTATTTGTTTTGTTTTGTGAATGCTACATTGAGGCTTCTTTTTCTTCCTCTCAAGCATGTTCAAGACCCCTGTGAATTTTGCCTGAATTGCAAGGTGTGGGTTTTTTATCCTTCCTTCGATGTTTCAGATTGCTATCAGGTCTGCTGGTGTAATGATATAGATCGTAAAGCGCATAGAGATTGCTAATGAGTGGGAATTTGCGTTATACAAATGCTGTTTATTACAATTTATTATCAATCATGTTTTGAGTACAAAATAAAACAAACAGAACGGGTGAAAAAGGATGGAGAAACTTTTCTATCTATCCCCCAGTGAATTTATAACGTTTATTTCTCCCTTTTTTCCCCTTTGATTGTCACCCATCCCCCCCCCCCCCCCCCAATCCTTCTACCTTGCCTAATGCCACTTGCCGTGTATTTTCATTATCTGTTTATAACATGTTTACTGTTTCTTATAATACATCTATATTGCTATTATGATATTTTATATACTTCTTAGAACTGTAATTGCTAGTTTATTCATCAAAGAAATTATAATCAGTGTGAATACAATTCCAGTGAACTGCAGACTAGTTTGTTTTTTTCTATGCACCCTTGAGCATGCCTTTTGAATTTTTACTTTGTAATAGATTTGAATTTCTAACTCATTTTCAGTATTTCTTCACAAAGTTCTAATTTAGATATTTTTTAAAAAAATTTCTAATGGGTTTGCATTGCACAAGGAACTAATATGTATATACAACTAACAAGTCGAGTGTATATTGTTATAGAGGTTGGAGGGAAAGGGGGGGGGTTGTTGTTTTTTCTTCTGAATTTCATTAGTTTTATTCCTAGCCCTGACAATCAACGGTTGAAATCTGTAAAAAAATTTTCCAGAAGCTTTAGAAAAGAAAAAGTTGTCAGTATAACGATAGATTGCCTTATGTTACCTACTGCATTGTATATGCTGTTCAGAAACCAAATGTTGGATGAACAGAAACAGGGTTCTTGTTTTCTTTAATTCTAAGAAATGTTGTCTCTTAAAACGAAGAAATGGACAGTCCAGGAAGCGATCTCTGTTGTTTTTGCCTTTTGGCTCCGATATTGGGGGTCCCCCCCCCCTCCCCCCCTCCCCCCCTCCCCCCTCCTCCCCCCAGTCCTTGCCCTATTTCTCTTTGAACGGATGCTTATTTATCAGGGTTTTTTTTTTTTTTTTTCTCCGTCCCAGGTTGAACGAGTGACAGGAGGGCTGTCTGTCGTTATCTTGGCTCACCGATGTCCAGGGAGGAAGAGAAAGACAGAGACAGAGGGAACCTCCTGTGTGGAACCTTTGACCTTTGGACACATGGTGTATTCTCAGACGTGGTGAATCTTTTGTGGATGAATACATAGATATGTGAGGCATCGCGGTGAAATCAGGCACTCGTCAGTTTGAGGGCATATATGGAGTGATTGGTATCATCTTAACGGTTGTTCATTTCCCTTGCGTTCCATGAAAGAAACATCCATTTCTCTTGAAGAGAAGTCGAGGTATTTGCGATTGAAGGAGGTTTGGTCGCCTGGTTTCGGAAATAAAATTAGTGAGAAAATGGCCGCCAAAGTTGGGTGACTTTCATAGCTTAAGAGTCCTTGGAAACTGCAAATTTACTTTTTTTGTCCCTTTATTTAATGTTTTTCCACAAAATCCACTCGTAAAATGTTTTAAATGGACATACAAGGTGTTAAGCTAAAAAAAAAAATTTTTTTTAATGTCAAAACTGGCAGAAAAATGCTGATTTTTTCGATTTCATTATTTTGACGAGCGCCTGATTTCACCATGATGCCTCTCGTATCAGGACACCATGGAATCGAAGGCTCCTCCGTTTTTGGGCATATATGTGACATGACAAAGCGGAATTGGGCACTCCAGTCCTCAGTATTTGGGCACATTATAATGGGAGTTATTGGTATCATCTTAAAGGTTTTTCATTCATTCGTCTTGCTTTTTTATGAAAAGCTTCCCGTCTATCTTGAATAAAAGTCGAGATATTTGTTTTAAGCAAATCGATGATGTTATGCTCCAACTTTGTAACTGGAAGTAAAAAAGTCAACTCTTTTTTTCTTAAGTCAAAGAACATTGCCGAGGTCGATCTTTGTTGAAAAATTTCAGAAGTCAGCATGCACTGTAAATAGTACAAAAGTAACGTGGGCTAACTTTTGTGTACCGGGGTCGGTCTGTGTTTTTTACCGGGTTTTTTTGGTACCTGTTGGAAAACGTTGAAAGGACCAGTTACGTGGTCAAAGCATTACACTGTCTGTGGAAATAAATACATGTGTACAAAGCCATGTTTCGGGTGATTTGGAATATTTAAACTTTTTTTTCTTTGCAGGCCAAATTTGAGGGATTTAATTGTGTATCCTTAAGGTTTTGAAATGTTGTGATTTGAGAAAGCTTGGACTAGCTGATTTGATTGTAAAATAGCAGATGTGTGCTTTTGTATTTATCTCCTTGTCAGTGTGTGTCAAGTCTGGGTGTTTGCGTTACACATTGACACAGTCTGGCGTGGTTTGCTCCTTCTTTCCTATCAAAAATCTATTATCTTTATCTTCCCTCCTTCTTTTTTGTTTGTTACTCTCTTCTAACACCTCTAATCTTCGGCCTTTATTTGACCTTATTGTGTTGCAAGTGCCATAAAACTCTTACGGTACAAACACTAAAACTAAAAACTCAAGGAAGGGAAAGCATAAAGTGGTTGTTTGTACAGGTGATTGTCTTGTACAGGTAGCCATTAAAACAGCCTCGACGGAATTTTTACTCTTTCTTCACGTGTATTTGCAAGCCTTGACTTTCACACGTAAATACAGAACTCTCTGGTGGCGAAACAGGAAGAGGAATGAGGCATGCCGCGGCAACATTTGTGAAACTTTGTATGTGGCACAAGCGTTATAAAATGTGTGGAAAAATATGTTTGGTGCATGTGTGTGTATGTGTGTGTGTGTGTGTGTGCCAATGTTGTGGTTTTAATGCGAATGTTTCCAACAAACTTATTATACTGTGTACAGAAGTTTTCAATAAAATGAAGACATTGGGGGTTATTTTTATTTTCTGTAGTTGTAGTTAAGCCAAAAGTACTTTACCATGATGCATATTCTAGTATCTGGTGAGGTATGGTTAGAATTTTATATCATCAGACTATTTATATGCAGCAATCTAATCTTTTAAAATAAAAAGTTTATATATATATAAATCAGACTAACGTTGGTGGGGTGATTGATTTATTAGATTTATTTTTTCTTTCTTGCTGGCTTGAAATGAAAATATTATTCCAATGTTTCGGCGTCTGTTGATGTCTCTAAAGCTCGAGTGCCTGATCAGTTGAGGTAAAAATGATGTCCTTTTTGGGTCTTAAAATAGACCTTTTTTGCTTTAACGAAATTGTTTTTTCATCCTGTGACCTTGTCACTCATTTCATTAAAGGGTTTTTGTTTTTTCATCCTGTGACCTTGTCACTCATTTCATTAAAGGGTTTTTGTTTTTTCATTTTTAAAATCTATTTTGGCGTGTTACTTCTTTCTCCCAATTCTACTTATAATTTAAAAATGTGTGCACATGTTGCATCACCTTCACGTGTGAGGGTCAGACCACAGTGCATATCAACTGAATCAATCAATGGGGGTGGACGGGGGGGTGATCATTTTTGTTTGAATGCAGTTCCTTTCATTTGCCCAACTTTCATCGTTGAAGTATGATAACTTCTGCATTTCATGCTATCTGGGGAGAGATGAGTCCACTAACTTTCACTGAAGTCGCAGAGAATTTAAAACTATTTTCATAGTTGATTGGATTGTTGTACCTTGATTTGACAGCTACTCTCAAGCGTTGATATAATCATGTATGGACTGTTGTTGTTTTTTTCCCTCTCATAATCTAGGCCCTGTAGATTGCTACTTGTCCAAGTCTAAACTAAGAATTCATGCACCGTATTATTGATCGCCAGCTGGTAAAATGAACAAGCCCATAAAAACAAAATTTCTTTGGAGAGAGAAAAAAAACCCCATTCCTTTCTTCTATCAAATTGTTCCAACTTCACATGTTTTTTCTTGTTTTTTGTGTGGTTTTTTTTGCTTTTTTTTCCTACATTTAGAATGTGAATTTTACCTATATATATTTTTGGAGCATATATATGCGGCCAATACCACTCATTAAGATTTTTTTTCTAGAAATTCTGATTTTGGGCTTATTGCATTTCAACAGCTGGCGAAAAATATTTATTGAAAACGCAGATTGTCTGTTGTCTTGTTGTCATTCAGGTAAAGAGGATCGGTCTTCTGACAGGAACGGTAAGCGTCCAAAACAAAACTGTGGTACTTTTGTGTGAAATCAAAGGGTTTCTCACGCGATGAGTCCTTTAATTACTTTACCTTTTTTTTCAGTCTTCAAATTTGAACCTGTCCTCATTTTCTTGTGTTTTTGACTATTCTTTTGAATGAAATGTGAGGCTTCGTGGTGAAATGAGGAACTCGTCAAAGTAATTGAAGAAATCAACACATTTCCAATTTTTATCTTTTTGGGGTTTTATTTGTTTAGTGCACAACACGTTTTGTGTCCATCACAAAATACATTCCTGCTTGGACGTCACCGACAAACTTGATTAAAAGCACAAAAAATATAGATTTTTAGTTTCCCGGGACTCTCTTTGGCGCCAAACTTCGGCGACTGACCATTTCTCGCTAATTTTACCTCTGAAACCAGGTGACCCCCACTTCCTTCAATCGCAAATACGCCAACTTCTATTTAAGGTAGATGGGTCCGGGGCGGGGGGGGGGGGGGGTTATAGAAAGATAGATAAAGTGAACAAGCTTTAAGATGATAGCAATAACTCCACGTGCCCAACCAAAAATTGACGAGCGCCTGATTCCACCACGTCGTGACACTTGTATGTTGCTGTGCGTTTGAGAAGAGAATGTCTGTGCTTGCTTGTGCGTGGGTCGGTTTGCTGCTGAACCACTGCAGTTTAGAAAATGGCTGACAATTCCTTTTGCGGGACATTCTGCGGGGAAAAATGGTCCCGTCATCTCTAACTGCTTTTTATTACTGTTCAGATGCACTGAGCCCATCATTTTATTATATTCTTTTATTTATTTATTTTTTATGCCGCAGTTTCTTCTTCGTTATATATGTGATTATCAGTTGCGTGTGCTCTGCAAATATTTTATCCCTTATGCAGTTGCGAGCGCTGTAAAACCTTACGAAAACTAAACTAAATATTTTATCCAAGTTCAAATTCTAAAAGTTAAAAAAAGCAAGAAATAAGACTTAGTGTGGGTACAAGCAATAATAATTGTTAAAAATGTGAAACGAATACATTTATGTGTATGAATACATTTATGTGTGTGTGCCTAGAGAAAAGTACCTAAAGTCGCCACACAGCATTTTGAGTACAGGCCGATTGTAATGAAAAAAAAAATGCACTTTTTTTTACCAAAATGTGTTTCCATGTCAAAAGGGTTTTCATTGATTTGACTTCTAAATATATTTTTTGGGGAATAATTTTGAGACTATGATATTTTTTTAAGAGAAAATGAAAACTGCTCTCAGAAGGTGTTAAAATTTATTCAAAAAGCATGTTTTCTCTTCCCCACTATTTTTTACCATTGAATTCTAATCATGAAATTGATGTCAACTGAATGCCAAATTGAAAATGAATTTTCCATGAAAAAAATACTTTGGAAACAATTGAATCATTGTATTTTTTTCGAGGTTGTAAGTGTCCTAAACTTAAAAGCTAATTTTCTCAAAATTAGATCTCTATACCCTACCCCCAAAAATGTGCAATATCTCCAAAGCTACTGGAGATATCTAAAAAATCCAAAGACCCCTGTGTTCAGCATTGGATTCTCTATAAGGTGAAATCCTTAACTCAAAATGGTCAAAATCTGACTTTTGATACCTTTCTTTAGGCTCTCACACACACATGTATGTTATCTCTAGTAGTAGTAGTAGTAGTAGTAGTATGGGGTTTTACGGCACTCGCAACTGCTACGGTCATATGAGCGCGCTATGTTATCTCTGCTGAAAATATTGTTTTCTGGGCTTTGTACGTCTGAACAGCTTGCTGACTCTATGACTATGTGTGTCGCTTTATGGTTCGATTCTGTCCGTTGTGTGAGGTGAATGTACGTACGTACGTAAGGTACTCGCTTTGGATGGAGATGCTTGTTTGAAAGCAGGACTGTTACTTCTTTCTGTATAATAATAAAATGTTGATTTTTTAAAATAATTACAAAGAGTTCCCTGTTGTTTTTCCATGTTTTGGTGTGGTTTTGTGTCTGACTGAATGACTTGAGAATGAGAGGGAAAGAAGAAAGTATGTGCTCTGTGTGTGGTGTGTGTTTTATTTTAGTTTTAGTTTTAGTTTTTTCCTTAAGATTATTTTTTTTTAGTAAATTTTGTTTGGATTTTTTTGTGCTTTATGTGTTTGTTTGTGGGGGGGGGGGGGGGGGGAAGGTGTTTTACAACTGCAAGTGGTTAGAGTTGGAACAAGGAAGCAGAGAGGTATGAATGTTTATCTTTCATTTGTCTACTTTCCTATCAATCACGCTGTTCGTAACAGGACCCTCATAATATGATAAATTTAACTGGTACATCATCTCTGTCTCTCTCTCTCTCTCTCTCTCTCTCTCTCTCTCTCTCTCTCTCCTCTCTCTCTCTCTCTCTCTCAGTATTTTCTAGCTCATCCCCAGTATTTTAATTCCCAAT